CCCCCCCCTATGAATTATGTCCGTTGTGTCTCCACGGATCTTTTTTAGCAGAATTTATCAGTCCGCCATCACAGTTTGAACTTAATTAAAGTTTGATGAGGTACTTGTACATCTCCGTTATCGAAGTCGACGGTCTCCCCGAGACCGCGTCTTTCTGGTCTTCGACGGACCCCTACTGTCGAATCAAATGCGGTACGGAGCAGGGCTCTACTTCCGTCAAAAAGCGTGCCGGTGGTCGTGCCATTTTCCATGAGTCGTTCAACTTCCCCATGCGAGCTACCGACCTGGAAATCGAGATTTTGGACAAGGCCACACTTTCCTCTGACAAGGTACTCGCTAACGGCGTAGTGACCATCCGGGCCAGAGACGGTTATTGTTTTATGGGACCCATTCCACTTCGAGACGCCAGTGGAGACGGCCTCAACCCGAATGTGACGCTGGCCATCTCAGTCCATGACCAATAAGGCTGCCCACTGAGACCCCATCGCACCCGGTCAGCGAGGATATGAATAATTTGTTTAATTTATTTTTTTGTGAGACGACTGAATCGGGCAGGAGCTTTTAAAAAACGAGAATACGGGTGCTGAATTCAGAGCTCGTATACACACTCTGCGCCATGTGGGATTGGACACTAGATGACCACTCGAACTAGGTACTGGCGGCTTGGGCCAGGTACTGGTACCTGGTGCATGATCTTGTGGTTAATGAAGGGTATAAATTGGTCCAATTCGGGTTTTTCCAGAGGCGATATAGCGCTCGATTAGCAGGTGACTTAGGGCGAGGTGACTGGAATAAGGTGACTTGGAATAAGGTGACTTGGAATAAGGTGACTTGGGTTGTTTGATGCGAGTTGTGGCAGCAGAACGAGATGTACATGAGGACTTCTTCGGGAGTGAAGAAAACCGGCCGGAGCCCAACGATCTAAGGTCGCATGCCAAGTTCGCGGCTTCACTGCTGGGCAATTACGTACGGCCTTCCCCCCTTCTGCCGGAGGTTTCCCCTCCCTCTGCATCCTTTCTAGCATGTGTTTTTCGGTAGTTGCCGAAGAGGGGGAATATGGTCAAGTTGGAAGACTGGGTTTCGAAGGGGCCTTTATCAGTGTTTCTGACGAATGCAAAATCGGGATTCAAAAACAAGACGTACCGGAACAGAATGATCAATGATATATTAGTTGGCTTTAGCATTGGAGCTATGTGTATCCCGCAAGGCATGTCGTATGCTGCTCTTGCGGGTATGCCGATGCATTATGGGTTGTACAGCAACATGATTCACCCAATTGGATACTTCACGTACGGTACCAGCAATCACGTGGTTACTGGTAGCGCGGCGATTGAGAACTTAATGATAGGAGAGTGCATTGACAATCTGACTGGGTAAGTCCACATGTCAAATATGTTCGTCGGCAAGCCAAAGATGCAATGTCTTGTAGAGCCGATGACTCTAGCGAGGACCGACGAGCGAACGCAGCGGTTCTGCTCTCGCTCATTTGCAGCCTTCTCTACTTGATCTACAGAATAGGAGGTCTTGCTATAGTAATCCACACCCCCAAGGGTCCATCCCCAAGGGTCCATCCCCAAGGGGTCCATCCCCAAGGGTCCATCCCCAAGGGGTCCATCCGCATCCACCTCCGGGGCCACACCTCCTGGTCAGTTCCCGGGAACTCCGTTTTGATTCTAGATTGCTGATTTATTGGCGGATCCAGTTCTGAGCGGGTTTGCAACAGGGGCCGCATTCCTGGTGGCGACGAGTCAGTTGAAGCATGCCTTGGGCCTCCGGAATCTGAAGGCTCAGTGGACAGTCCCACGGTCGTTATACTACATCAGTAGCCACTTAAACGAAGTGTTGTGGGCCCCTTTAATGTTGTGTGCGGGGTCCATTTCCTTTCTAATGTTATGCAAGCAGATTCGGAGACGGTTCATCCCTGGACCACTTATCCTGGTGATTACGTCGGTGGTGGCCAGTTTCGTGTTCGACTTGGAAAAATACGGCATTCCGATCGTGGGGCACATTCCGCGTGGTTTACCTTCTTTTTACGGTCTGCCTCAGATGCACCTGTTCGCCTCCGATACCCCTGCGGACGGAGGTGGTGGTATAGCAGGTGGTGGAGTGGTGATGGATGAGATACCGGTTTTTCGGCAGGTGTTTTGGGAATCTGTGAAGATCTCTAGTTTACTATTTGTGATCCATGTATCGATTGCGAAGACGATAGCGATTAGGCAGGAGTACCAAGTGACTGTACCGGATGAGTTGTTGGCATTTTCGGCAATGAATTTAGCGGGCGGATGTCTTGGTTGTTATCCGGGCAGTACAAGCATCAGTCGGAGTGCAGCGGCAGAAGGGCTTGGTGCCACTGCGGGGCTTCAAGGCCCATCTAGCGGGTTAGTCGTCATGGGGGTCTTACTATTCCTTACAGAATGGCTACGGTTTCTACCACTGCCTTGTCTTGCAGCAATTGTATTGGTAGGAGTCTCCAGTTCGTTGGCTGAATTTGGCGAGCTCGCGAGACTATGGAAACTCCAAAAAACCGCGCATGCCGCTTCTCTCCGTGGTGGCGGTGGTAGCTCACCTGATCTTATGCTCTGGCTTGTCGCTTTCCTAGTTACATTCTGTTTCGGAGCTTCCGAAGGCATCATCGTATCTGTCGCGCTTTCACTCCTTTGGATCGGCAAGTCAATACTGCGTCCCCCTTTCATTGAACTAGGACGTATCAAAGAAACCACCATCTACCGCGATCTACGACGCTTCCCTGGTATGATCGAAGTCGACCCCTCCATCGCCATCTTCCGCATTGACGCACCCCTCAACTTCTGCAACAGCGGCTACCTTGAAAGACACATCCGACAAGTCATCAACGAACGCTTCACCGAACGTAAGCACACACCCTGCCCTGTCCATGAATGGGTGGCACACACGAATGTGTGGCACACACAGATGTGTGGCGCACCCTGCACAACCCCAGTTTAGGACACATGTCGCGGTGTTGCAGCGCTGCAAGTCGTACCTACGAGCAACAGCACGGCGGACGGGTCCGAGGTGAAGTTTGGGGAGTACGTGGAGTACGTGTCGCCAGGTGCGGAAGTACCGACGAACCCTCCGTTGGTTTCGAACGCGATACGAGTGGGTTCGGAGCCGGTGGCGCACTTTATCTTTATTTTGGATTGCAGTTCGATAAACGGCTTGGACATCACGAGCATCGGCGCGATCAAGCGGATCGTAAAGCATGCAGCGAACCATGGTGTGATCGTCGCCTTCAGCAACTGGAAGGGACCGCAACGTGATTTCCTATTTCGCGCGAACTTTTACGAGGTGGTCCCCCCGCAACGGTGCTTCCTCTCAAACCACGATGCTTATCTCTGGGCCAGCGCTGTCAAGTCGCACCCTAACGTGGCCACCGAGATTCTGCGACCCATGGTCTACCGAATGCATGAAGGCCTTGCTCGGACTCTGACCAAGACTATCACACGAAACATCTCGCCTCCAGCTCTCTCCCTCTGCACCTATCGTACCGAAAAGCCTCAAGACGAAATCGAAATGGAAAAAGTTTACGAATGGGACGGACTCAGCGCACTCGTGCCAAACGTCCGAGTGGTCGAAGAACAAACCAGCTACGGCGCAGCGAGACGGTGGGAAGTCTCCGCGCTCGACGAGGACTAACACCTCTGGAAGGATCTTATTAGCTAGTTAAGAACGATGTATGTGTTTACCCCGATTGTTTGTCCCGACTGTTGACCAGTTGAGGGCCCAGAGTGGGTCGCAGCAGGTTTGGTGCAGTGGGTCGTCACATTTCATCGGCCACTATGGTAGTTGCGCGAGTTGCGTTGCGCGAGTTGCGTTGCGCGAGTTGCGTTGGGGGAGTTCGTTTGCGTTCTGCGGGGATATATAATTCAAAATTTTGCTATGGATCCGACGGCCCCTGAGACGTTGGTTGTTGAGGATGAGGTTGTGGAGGAAGTGTCGTCGTCAGCGTCTTCCGGAAGCGATGTAGACGACGGCGTCTCGGTGGCGTCTGAGGAGTTGGAGGAGAGCATAGAGGAGCATTTGGCGTTGCGGCCGAAGGGGTTACGGACGGAGCAGGTGCTTGCATGGTGGTACGCGGCACTGCAGCCGGTGTGTCGCGACATTAGTGATGAGTTGGGAGGGAACGAGTGTGCGTTAATTTCAGCGGAAGGTCTGTTGTTACGTTTTTGTTGCGGTCGTGAGTTCGAAGCTGACTTTTTGACTAGGCCGAGATTCATTGAAGTTGTTGTGCAGGTGGAGCAGTTCCTGGCCCGTCTGTATGAGGTGGGCATCTCCCATTATACCCTTGTGTTCTTTGACTGCCTTAAGGCAACGCTTCTGAAATCGCACCCGCTACTTTGGGTCTTGCGCGAGACGCTTTTACTTCACTGCGCTGCCAATGCAGCCACCATTCCTTACTGCCGTTTCCAGTCCTGGTACTGCCCAGCCTACGACGACTTCATCACACACCAGCAACCCTTCATCATGGTTGTCGAGGACGGCGCCCACACCAGTCTTGCCGAGTCGGAAATCTACGCGGCTCTCGCCCAACATGACGATAAAGAGGAGGAGGATGGCGATGAGGATGGAGAGGAGGAGGGCGGTAGCTCTAAGGGCGGTAGCTCTAAGGGCGGTAGCTCTAAGGGCGGTAGCTCCAAGTCAGGCAACAGGGCCCCGGGTGAACACGGCTTCTCAATGTTGTACTTGTTGATGCTGAACGCAGTTGGACGGCAGATCTCAGTGTGTTGTCTGCACAACTTGCACATCGTCACACGTCGTGTGAAAGCATGGTCGCTAAGTTACAACTCCTACTCCGCGGGTCTGGAGGCGGAAGTAAAGGAGGCGGCGATGAACGAAAATATTCTGGAAGAGTTGGAAGAGTTCATTGAGACGAAGCCGACTAAGTGTGCGGATGTGAGTGCCACGGACTTTAGACGGGCGCTGTATTCCATGGCAGCCAAGGACTTGTTGACGACCGGCGAGGAGGAGGAGGACCGGTGGACCGTGTTCTGGTTTAAGTGCCTATTCCTGGCGGACCTGGTCGCCAAAGCCACGACGCTGCAAGACCGTCGCTGCGAATTGCCGCCGCTACCCGTAGACATGTACGCCACCGGTTCGGAGTTCTTCGGACTGCACCTTCAGCACTACCTCGAGGAAATGGTCAAACCCGCAAACGGGAACCAGGTACAGCCGATTTTCAGCGCGGACTCGATTGCCGCTCGTGAGTGTGTCGATCTATATGACGAACTGACTGTACGACGTCTCGTCTACATGCTCGTGGCACTATGGCAGAAAAAGACACAACCCATGACGGCGGAGATACTCGGCATCGATCCCGCCGCGGCTGCGGAGCTGGACGCCCTCTGGACGACGTTGCAGTCCACGTCCTTCTTCCCTATTACACTTCAGGGTCTGGAGGATTTGGTCGCTGAGATCCCGGCCCACGAATTGTTCGGACAGGCTTTGACTGGTGAAGGGGGTGCTGGTGAGGAGGTGGTCGTGGCTAAGCCGTCGGTGGTCAATGTGACGAACGACTTTTTGATCCAGATGATGCGGAAGGTAGTGCCGGGTACGTATGAGACCGATGGGGAGTACTTGGGCAAGCAGTTGGTGAAGCGTTTCAAGGAATCGTTGGGTGAGTCGGGGCCGCCGGATTTGGGATCTGTCGAGTCGAAGGAGTTTACACGTTTCCGCACGGGCGTGTGCCCTGACCGGTATGATTTTGCTTCGGTGATGGCGGACGCGGCGGCGACTAAGGGCCCGAAGCAGTTGCCCAAGTGGCTGACTCGTATTCCGCCGGAGCGATTCGAACGCGCGTTTAAGAGATGGGAACTTCGTTGTCAGCAGGACGACCAGGTGTTCGCTCGTAACATCAACAAGTACATGGGATATCTGGACAAGCTGCATCGGCCGATCGTCTTGATTGGCGGCAAGTGCACCAGCGACCACCCGTGGTACAAGGAGCGGAAAACGGCGGACGATGAAGCGGTGGCGGTGAAGCCGAAGAAGGCGGAGAAGAAGATCAGTAACAAAGCAGCAGCAATCATCTCGAAAAATAAAGAGGCTAAGGAAGAGAAGATCAAGAAGAAGGACAACGATGGTTACGAGCAGATGATTGCGCACATGGATCACGCCTTTCGTAAGAAAATCGAGAACCCTGCTTCCTTCCAGGGCGCGCTCTTGGAGCTCTTGGTTGGCAACAGGAACGCTTTGGACACGACAGTGCTGGAGGATTTCCCGGCAGTTAACAAGGCGATTGCCTTACCCGAGAACCGTCTGGAGTTCCTGAGCCGCATCGCAATAAATTTGGTTGAACCTTTAGAGCATACATGGCGGATACGGAACATCCAGCAGAAGAATCAGGAACAGGGCATCCTCAAGTTGATTGGTGTAATTTTCCGCTTCGTCCAAGTGAGCACGGACAAGTATTTGAGTATCATGGGTCCCGATCACATCAAGGTATTCCAGACTTTACTGATGATTCTGGGATTCGCTAACTCCGCTGGTGTCTTGTTCGATTCGTGGGCTAGGAAGCAGTGGGAATTGAAGAATAGCAAGGGTGAGAGCGCGATGCCCGCACCAGTCGTAGAAGAGAAGAAGAAAAAGAAGAGTGCGAAGCCGGGTGCCGGTCAAGGTAGTAAGGGTGGCTCGAAAGCAACGGATAGTCAGGTAAAGAGTCGAGCGGATGATGAGCGTCAGCGCGCTTCATACCTGAAGAAGTTGGAACAGCATCGAGTAAAACGATGCACGAAAAGTTTCGACTTCGCGATCCAACCACATATCGAGATGACTTTCCAGATGCAATATTTGGGAGCGGATATGACACGTTCATTGGGCTCTGTTGCGGATCCACGTGTGCCTTTTATTCCCGATGGTTGGCAGAAGAGATTGTTAGACGCAGTGGACACACAGGAAAGTGCTTTGGTTGTGGCTCCGACTTCTTCGGGTAAGACGTTCATTTGTTATTACGCCATGGACCAAGCGTTGAGGTTCGATAACGAGGCGTGTGTGGTTTTCGTTTCGCCTACACGAGCGTTGGCTTTGCAGGTTGAGGCAGAGGTTACGGCACGTTTCAGCTCGAAAGCCTACCCCGCAGGTTCGAAGACCACCTTATGCGGACACCTGTACGAAGATCGTCTACGCGACTGGGACAATTGCCAAGTCCTCATCACCGTACCCTCCGCGTTCCAGGCCATCCTGTCGTCCAAGCAGCAGCAACATCGCGACTGGCAAAAAAAACTCAAGTACGTCATCATCGATGAAGTCCACTGTATCGGCGACGAGAAACTGGGAAAGGATACTGAAAACTTGGTACAGCTGCTTCCCTGTCCGTTCATGGCACTCTCCGCAACTGTGGGTAACGAAGACGACTTCGCGGGTTGGTTACAGCGCGCTCAATCGTTCCCGAATGCCAGACCCATCAAATTCATTAAGTACAGTGAACGTTATGCTGACCTAAAAACGTTGTACTATTCCTCTGAGCAGCGCGCACTATACAACCTAAACCCGATTCTATGTGTAAATTATGAGAGGGCCAAAAGCGGCACATTGACTGGCGACTTCGCTATGGTCCCCCCCGACTGTTTGCAAGTATTCCGTGCAGCCTGTGAAGTTTTGTTATCGAAAAAGGCGCAAGTCTCCACCGCCGAAAAAGAAGACATAGACATGTTCACCGAGTACTGGGAGCCGGAGAGGTATTTCAAAGGCACGCAGGCAATCACTAAAAAGCAGTATGGTTACTATGCAAAGTCAGTAGCATTCACGCTCGAAAGTTATACTCGTAAGGAGTTGCTGGATCCGGAGAGCTACCAGAAGATTTTAGACCTTATTGGGCTAGAGAAGCCATTGGGATTAAACAAGCTGAAGCCGTGGTATAAAGTGAAGGGAGAACAGGCGGCAGAGGAACCGCAACCTGGCAAAACGCTGGCGCAGGTCTTGGAAGGCGGTGCTGACGTGTATAGCGGGTTCCAAAGTCCTGCAGAGTTCTTGCTACTCATTCGCTCCTTGGAAAGTCGTCGCCTACTCCCAGCCTTAGTCTTCAATTTCAACCGTGCTTTCGCGTCGCGACTGTTTTACCGTTTGGTACAGAAATTGGTCAATGACCATCATGATAAGTACTATGGTACGCCGGAGTTAGCGGCAAAGACTCGTGCGTTGAACAAACAGCGACAGGACGAGTACAAGGCCGAGTTGTCGAGACGGGAAGAAGTGGAGAAACTCAAGTCACTGAGTAAGCAACAAAGAGAGGAGCAAGGCATCGACGAACAAATGTTGGCCGAGTTATCAGGTCCACCCCCACCACCACCTCTAGATGTGGCGGATGAGCACGACTCGGAATTGTTCTTATGCGATCGACGCATGTATTTGAGTTACCAGGAAGAGTTCCGAGACATTTTGAACTTCTGTAAAATCGACCATTATGTCAAGTTGGGTCGTATTTCACCCGTACTGGTGGAGGCATTACGACGCGGTATTGGTCTGTATCATGACGCTCTACACAGAGAGTATCGTCGTGCAGTTGAATATCTATTCCGAGCGCGGTATTTGAGAGTGGTGGTGTCGGATATCGCGTTGTCCATGGGTGTTAACATGCCGTGCAAGTCCACCGTCTTTGCCGGTGACTCCTCGACTTTGACGCCGTTGCTCTTCAGACAGACCGCCGGACGTGCCGGTCGTCGCGGCTTCGACTCTCTTGGACAAGTCGTGTTCTGGGACTTCCCCTTCAAGAAGGTCCGGCGTGTTCTATGCACCAAACTGCCCGTGCTCAGCGGCAACTTCCCCGTCCGCCCAAACAGTGTACTCAAGGCTGTCAAGCTCTCCAAAGTCACGGACGATGAAATCGTACTCAATGGACTTAATGCCAAACTCTCGGAAGGCCAGATCGTCCAGGAAGTGGACAGAAACCGCACCAAGTTCATCAAGCTACTTAAGGCCTCGCTCTTCGAACTCGGCTGGCCCCGGGCCAACCAGGAAGAGGAGATGGAAGACGTCTACGGACTCACCTTCCGCTTCGCAATCGATCTGCTTATTCGCTTGGGTCTACTCAACAACAAGGGCCTCGCGCTCCCCATGTCCGTAATAGTCGAAGCGCTGTTCAGCAGCGACGAGACTAGTCTATTGATTCCCTTTGCACTCATGAGTGGCGCCCTAGCACCCGAGAACGTGGCCAATAGTGCCACGGCAAACCTGCTACAGTTCATCTCTATGGCGGTCGAGAAACGTTCGTTCGGCTACAACATTGTGCGCAGATTCGAACTGGCGTACAACCCCGACTTGTACCAAATTTTGTTCCCCTTCGCCGAACGAGTTAGCACACTCGGCAGCACCGGCTGGAGCCCGCTTCTCCCACCCATGGCTGGTCCCCAAATGTCTGTGCTACAAGAGTTCGACCGGCTAGTATTGGAAAACGGCCGAGCGCGACTTCAAGCACTCACTCTGGCCAAACAGAAACGGCTAGCGCAATTCGCAGGCCCTGACGGCCTGCAGGAATGCTATACCCCCTTGACGGAAACGGACTTCAACGGAGCCGTCACAGCCGGCGCCTTGAACAGCCACGGCCTGGCCAAAAAGATGCTCCGAGAAACTCACACCACCGCCATCCTTCAGTCGCCCTTCTTCGCTGGCCGCAGCGATGACAACCTCACCACGCCAGAAATGATCTGCAGCAGAGTGCGGCCCGACGTCTACGCCGAACCCAGCTCCATGCCGCTCATGCTCAACACCCTCGCCGAGCTGCGCAACCCCCTCACAGGCGAGGAGGCCAGCCTCCCTCTCGTCAACTCCTACCTACCCGAGCTACTCGAACATCGAAGCCTCCGACTGCTCATCCAACACAACAAGGTCGGCGCCAGTGAAGCTTACTTCGTAGCACTCGCCGCCAACCAGTCGTTGCGGCACCTCAAGGCCGCACTCGACTCCATCACCGAACCAACCAACGCTGACATGGCAGACTACAGCAAGGAGCTGCGCGGCATGGTTGCGGAAGTGTCAGAAGGACTGGCGGCAGTCGTGTCTCATATTCGAGCTTAAAATTCGTGTGCACACACGATTTCGCTTTCTGCGAACGGCCTTTGACCGATGGCCTTTTGGCCGACCGTCTTTCGGTCGTCGAAGTTATTGTTTAATGAACGCCCAGTCCACCAGAATTGTCCTGCCGAGTAGCTGGGACCCGTCCATCTCCTGGATGGCCCTTGCGGCAGCTTCCTTTTCCTTAAACTCAACTAAAGCGTACCCTTTGGCATAGCCGGTTCGTCTATCCAAATTTAAATGAAGTCCATGGACTTCCCCGAACGGCTCGAACGCCTCGAGCACAGTGTCTTCTGGAGCTTCTTCATGGATGCCGTTGACTATCAAGATCCAGCCTTCGACAGCTAAAAAAGGGGTGGTTATTTGGGGCAATAAAGAATGGTTTACATACATGGGCAAGGAGTAACTATGGACTTATTTTTGTATCGGGACCCCACCACGACCTCATTCTTGGAATTGGTAAAGTCTCCTTTGGGCCCCAAATATCTCTCTTCCCGCGAATGCCCGTCCCGTCGGCCGTGTTTCCGACCATCACGGCTATCACGTTCTTCTTCCATCAACAAAAGGAACTAATATTATATAAAAAGGGAGAACAAAAAAGAAAGGTACAAAGATCTCTAAACGGCCTGTTCACTAGCTTGGTTAGTCACTAGCTTGATGGCCAAACTTACGTGACCAGACGCTCAGGCGGCATCTATAAATCCATACCGGGCCAACGGAGCCGATAGATTCTGGAAGTCCTTAGCTTGGCCTTCTTTTAATTCTTCGGTGAAGTCGGCATCCTCTGGAGTGGGCGTAGTAGAAACTCGTTTGCGAAAAGACTTTTCCTGTTGGTCACTTTCTTCTGCCTCCCCCTCAGCCTCCTTTTTCTGGTTCTTCTCAATCCCTTTCTTCTTCGACTCGGTCTTCGCCTCCGGCTCCGCCATCACCTCGGTCTTCGCCTCCGGCTCCGCCATCACCTCGGCCTTCGACATCGCCTCCGCCTTCCCCTCGGCCTTCGCCTCCGGCTCCGGCTGGTCGGTTTGCTGGTCTTCTAGACCGAGTTCGGCGTTAATATCACTAGTGTCTCTTGGTTGTCCATATTTTTTCCGAGTTTTTTCGACCCGGGCTTTGAGTTGGTCGACCATGCTTTTATGTGCGCCTTTATTTTCTTGTTTAAAGTCGGCTTCCCAGGTGTTGATTTCGGCGTCCAATGGTTTGGCAGTGGTGCCTACGTAGCGCTGGCTGGCGTCATCGAACCATTCTCGTACAAAACCTTCGCCCATTTCGTCCGCGCGAGTGACCGAGTCTGCAAGGATTGTAACAAGATATTTCACGGCTTCAATCACCTGCTCTGCCTCCTGTGCAATCTCACGCCGCATTTCAGCCGCCCGTCGCTCTATCTCCTTAACCACCTCTGCTGTTCGCATGTCTAAATCCTTCTGCAATTTCGTCACCGATTTCGCAATCTGAGCTTGCGTCTTCTTCAACACCTGACCCTGCTTCCCCGACGGCTTCGTCTCCGACGGCGTCCGGTCCTCCACTTCGCACCCACCCGGCCGTAACAAACACGGCAACAACTCACCCTCCGTCTGCGCCGACTCCGCCTCCTCCTCCTCCGTCAACGGCGTCTTCGCCACGTTCTCCACCAAATTCTGCAAACGCGAAAATGATGGAGCCAACGGCGGCGCAATCGCTCGACGCAATGGCGCACCCTCCTCAGGCAAAATCAACGTCGCCGCCTCCTCCTCCACCAACAACAAGGTCACTTCCTCCGCTGACCGGGTAGTCTCTTCCTCTGACCGGGTAGTCTCTTCCTCCGCCAAGGCAGTCTCCTCCTCTGCCGAGGCAGTCTCCTCCTCTGACGGGGTAGTCTCTTCCTCTGCCGAGGTAGTCTCCTCTTCTTCAGCGGCGGTCGTCTCTGTGTCGGTTCTACTGGTGGTCGCAATCTTGGTCGTCGTGGTCTCTTCAACGGGTACCGTCTCCCCCTCCTCTTCGGGAACAGTCAGCTCTTCCCCCTCCTCCTCCTCCTCCTCCTCCGGAGCCGGTTGCTCCTCCGGAGCGGTTTGCTCCTCGGGAGCGGGTTGCTCCTCGGGAGCGGGTTCCTCTTCCTGTTCATGTGCGGCCTGCTCATCGCCGCCGAGTTGCTCCGCTTCCAGGGTAGTCTTCTCCTCGTCGTCGTCGTCGTCGCCGTTGGCGCCAGCGTTTTGCTCGGGGACGACTTCGGTCCCAGGCGCGACTTCGGGGAGGGAGACCATGTCTTGAGTCGCCTCGTCGGTTGCGGCTTCGTCATCGTGGCCCGGCAAGACGGCGAGTGGGAGGAAGCCATTGCTGGAGCTGATTCGTTCTTCCTGGTCGCTGTGTGCCCTGCCCCGTTCTCTGGCTCTAGGGTGCCTCGTTCGGGCAGGTCCAGCCTCCTGGTTGTGTACAGTTTGATGTTCTCGTTCTGGGTGTTTGAGTCGCTGGTCAATGAGTTGGTTGAGTCGGTCGTCGTCGAGGCAGGCGGTGGTGCTGTCACTAGGTGGTGGGGTGGGGTCAGGACCATTGCCTCCGGGACCTGGCACGTTAATGTGACCGGCCGCGTCTTCCTCGTCACAGGGCTCCGTGCCCACTAAGTCGCTCGTGCGCGCGTTCAATGACCCCTCCGGACCGGCGGGGAGCGGCATAATCTCGATAGCCTCCAACGGTGCTGACGTGCTCTCAGCAACGTCCGCGGCATCGGGAATCGGCCGCAGGTCACCCGAGTGCCGACCACCCCGCGGCAACGGCTCCGTCTCCACGGCTTGTGGTCGCCGCCTCCGTGATGGCCCGGCTGGGTCGTTCGAACGAGGCTTCGCCACCGGGTAGCCTTCCTCAACCAACTGCGACGCGATCGAGTGTTTCCGTGCTATCTCCGCTCTGTGCGCCGGAGTCAACAAATTCCCGCGGAAGATCTTGTCTTTCCGACCGTCCGTGGCGCGCCGCTGGTCCACCTGACTAGGCCGAGCGGTCGCCAGCTGAATCGCTAATAAAAACGTGGCTTTCTTCATACTCAGTGCCACCCCTGCATGCAAGGCACCTTGGCAACCCAGCTGCTCTAGACGCACTCAATCCTGAATAAGACCTGAGCACGTCGACCCAGAGATAGCACGTAGATGTAGACCCAGACGTGTACATAGACGTAGACACAGACGTAGGCTGAACCGCCAGAGAAAAGGCGCCAGACAACAGGCTCTGCCGATCTCTTGCAAAGTCACGCAGCTGACCCAATATATAACTAACTATGTAACGTACGCTGCTCACCCCGCCGCTCGAGATTGGTCGGTAACCAAAGTGAGAGCGCAGAAGAGAATCAGAGGCTCTTCGTGAACTAACGGCTTAAGGTCGCCATCTGACGCGCACACTATAATTGCATTTCTATCCTGACGAATGCGCTGAATCTTCTTCATGAGCACCTTCACGGTCGTGTCACTGCCTGTTAGACTAATTGTCAACGTCTACAAAAATCGAGCATGCCCGTCTGTCCAAAACTTTGTGCACACACGTGTGCACACGCATTTGGAGGAACTGCGGTCATCCCATCGGTTTGAGTACTTACCGTGATATTTTCATCGATAGCCAACATTGCATCCTTTCCATCATAGAGAAGCTCCACTCCTGTTGTGCACGCCTGAAAAGCCAACCGTTAGCACAGTTCCCACCCGTAGAAATGCGGTGGAGCTCACGTTAAGGAAGTCTTTGGTTCTTTGTCTGAGAGTACTGGAAGCGTTGTTCATAGACAAACCTGAGTGTAGCATTGAAGAATGATCATCGTTGAACACTGGTGGTCCCACTATAAGCTCCTCGGCGGATCCTTCCAGCGTCTTGTAGCAACACTTGAACATTATTTTTTTCGATCAAAAACCGGTCCCCAAGTCGGACGGAAAGCCGAAGGGTCGATCGTGACTGACGGCGGCGATACCCAGCCAGACAGATGGGAAGGGAGCAGATGGGTTCCGATGGGTGTAAGAATAAGTTTCTGGGGGGGGGGAATATTTTTGGTTTGGTGGGAAGGTGGAGTATATGGAGAGTTTATGGTCTGTGCCGGTGGCGCATTGTTTGACGTTTGAGGAGTTGTTGCGGAGTGTGGCGCAGGGCGTGTACGATGTGTTATTGCGTGCGTTTGAAGATGCGGACATTGAATCGTCAAGTGTGGAGAAGGTGTGCATTCCGGGTTTCGGAGTGATGGTATTGCGTCCGTGGGATGTGTCTGCGGTTGGTTTGCCTTCGACGGTGGTAGGAGACGTGGTGGCTGTGGCTCAATGCCTTTTTTACTTGGGCTTTGCGGCACCGGCGGGAGCGGGAGCATGTGTGGCATTACTGGAACGGTTGGCGAATGGAGATACGGCAGCTGAGGAGACAAGACTTAAATTGGCGGCCGTATTGGTTTCGATGTTACGGTATATGACACCCGCGGGGGTTGCCCGTTCATTGGTGTTACTGCAAACGGTTTTCCATCACCTGTCGATTGTGGGCTTATTTTTGAAGGAGATCCTACCCGGCTCGTCGCTACCTCATAATGTGCTATTGATCAAGGCTTTCCATGCCCTTCTGCGCAACCCCCTCCTACTCCAGCCATGTCTTCAAGATCCCGCACTCAATGTACTCCTCGCCGACCTTGCCCTCGGTATCTACTACTACTCTCCTAACGATGCAACCAGTATTCTCACCGCCTGTAGTGTCCTTGCCAACCCCCAATTTCGATTCACTCGCGATCTTAGCCAAGTCATCCAACATGTCATTGCTCTCTCCCACCGTAGTGGCGACCGCAGCGGCGACTCTGGTACCGCTAAAACCGCCGCTGAATTGGCTGCCTCTAGAACTATCGGTGAGATCGGCAAGACCTCCGAAATCGGCAAGACTGCTGAAATCTGGGGCAACGCTAAAATAGCACCGATTACCACTGTGCCCCAGTTCGTCCCAGGGTTCATCCCGCTTCCCACCTCTCTCAAACGGATGCTCACATACCTCCTGCGATGCCCATCCCCTACCGACCACCCCTTCGAAGTCAGCGACCCGCGCATACAACCCTATCTCTACCGAGACCGACCCAGCAACATGCCTCCCAACTTCATCCTCCAACTCCTTGCCGGCTACCATCCCAAAGACTTCGAATGGATGTACTATCGCCGCTTACACCTCTCCGTCGAACTCTACGCTACCGCCATGGCCGCCTTCGTCCTCAATTTCCCCCCAGAAGACCCTCTCGCCCTTGGCGGATACCCTCAGGACCTCATCGGCCCATACCCTCTAAGCGGGGACGCTGGGGAGGAAGACAGTCGATCAGGCTTCGACTCCCTGGTCAACCACATCTCCAGACCCGCATATCTCTCCTTCCGACCTCTCTGGTCCATGCCATTCGACGAAAGAAGACGCACCATGTTCCTTTTCGCCGCCAGCTTCGGAGGCGCCACCTACCGCTTTCCCTTCGGCACCGTCCTCTCACCCGGCACCAACACTGTCAGCCGAGCCCCCACCACCGAGGAGGCCCTCCGCTTCCCCGTCTCGTTCAGGAATACCCTCAGCCGCATGACCGACTTACTCGCACGGACTCGAGCAATGATTGCCTATTCTCTAATCGGCGACTACCAACTCGTGGATGGCGTCACGAAAGCGAATGCGGGAGACCTACTGTCCATGGTTGTCAACGCCATCAACCGGAACCAAGTCAACGAGACCATGGTCAAGAAGGTGCATCAAGCTACCACCAACCTGCCACACCAACAGGACCAGTCAAGCTATGACCAATCAAGTTATGGCCAATTAAGCTATGACCAACCCCAGTCGTCCCACGTGCTTCTGAGCTGGATCACATCCTGGCTCAACGAACCCCACACGGTGCGACACTTTGACGCTCGGATGTGGCTCAGTACGCTCTTCTCTGTGTCCATTGCTCCGACACCCAGCAGTGTGTCCAGAGTCAGCGACCTGATCTGCACTCTAGCGGTCCACTGCATAAAGGCGTCGGGTGCAGGACCTGGGGGCGGTGGGGGGAATGAGGGGGTTCGGAATCCGCAGTATTCATTGTTGGCAGCTGTGATGAAGATTTTCGGGCCCGAAAGTTCTCCTTACAAAGTGGCGGACATTATACTCCGGAAAGTTGTGGAACCTGCCCTGGCGTATGTCCCGCCATCTCTTACCACGGAGCATGTTTCAGAGGATGCAATTGAGGATGACGGAGAGGAGAGTGCTTCCGACAGTCCGGCAGGGAGACCTGGTGTCCGACAAGCAATGATTCGGCTTAGTATTTCGCAGAGCTTGGATACGGCGGGCCAAGCTCCGGAGGAGGGAACCCAGGAAATCCTCCGATGCATCACGGCCTTCCTCAAGGCAGACTACCGCCACGAGTGGTGGCCAGCAGCGTCCTGCGACGGCAAGGAACTTGCGAACGGACTCTGTGAATGCACCATCCGACGGAGTCCGCGAGAGTGGACAAGTTTGTCGGAGCTTCTCTGGGAGGACCGGCTGGATTTCACGGAAGTTAATGGCATGTGGTTGGCGAACAACCAAAACCACCTGTTTGCTATCATTAAAAATTATTCTGACCTGATGATCCCGTCTGCAGAACTGGTGGAGTACCAACATCGCGTCTGCCTGAGGAATGCACTGATCATCACTTTCTGGACCCGTTATATACTTTATATCACGGAGCGCATGATTCCGCAAAAGAAAAATGCGTCCGTCGCACGCGTGTGCGCGGAGCTAAATTGTCAAGACTACGGCTGGATTGTAAGCCATATTGTCGCGGAACTCTGGCAAAGATGGTTCCCATCTCCCTCCAGCGCTGACGCGCTGGGTGGGAGTCATTCTGAGGTCGATATACGATCTTTCTTTCCTGTTTTGCATAAAGCCGGCGTACCTCTCAGCAAATGCCTAAACGAAGTAGACTCCCCCCTGAAACTGTCGCAATTTAAGTTTGCTGCAAGCGTGCGCGAAATCTCCAACGACTGTGTGGACGACGTTTGCGCATGCAGCTACTTGCTGCGCTTTGTTATACCGCCGCCAGCAGTGCTCGATGAAACGAGCGACGGAGAGTTGTGTTCTGTGCTTTTGACATTGTTGTTGGAGCGACGCCACATAATGAAGCAACATTGTCGACGGGCACTGGACCGCTGTATTCTCGACTTGGCCGAAAAATCTCCCTTCGTTCAGCTGGACCGCAATGGGGACAGTGTTATTCGGGAAATAGAGTGTGTAGGCCGCACTAATTTGTTCGACCCGCAACTGCTCAGCACCTCCAGCTTGGACAACGCCACTGTATTGGACAACGCCTCTGGTTTGGACAGTGTTTCAGGCACGGTGGAGGCCGGCAGGTCGGAAGGTGAAGGTTGTCTGGTCACGTTGAATTTGAATTATTTACAGTCTATTTTTGCAACATGGGACAGTTCCGTTTGAGATATGTTAGGGCGACTGTTACCAGTGACCGTGTCATGCCGGGTATGCGAAACCGTCGGCGTTATTTGTTGAGTCCAAGAGCGGCATACCAGGTCGCGGTAGCTCCGGCGACCTTCCCGTACAAGTCCTTGTCTCGGTTGCCCTCTTCGGTCCCCGACCGTGAGCGGGGCAACTGGGGGTCCTCGCGTGCATCGCGAACGCCTTCGCCTGGAACACATATAAGCATGGCCGACGGACTCTATGGCGGTACATATAGTCAAAAGACCCCGATAAAAACTACCGCCAAAGGGTCTCGGTACGCCTTCAGCTTCCTTCCGGATTCCGCAACCCGGCTAATCTGCTGCTGGACGAACGAAGACCCAAGACTGACCGAGCAAATCATGGGAGCAACCGAGACTCACATGGATCGAACGGAATGGACCAAAGCAAAGGCAAACTATTCTCCAGCCTCCACTCGCATCCCCGGAAGCGCCTTGCCTCTTTCAGACGAGTCAGATGCCAGTCCTCCAACGGGCACTACTAGAGCACCAAGCCGCCCGCCGCGGAGTCGCCCGATAATGGTCTGTGACAAGGCTGTTGGGGCAAACGCTATTGGAGCAAAAGCCGTTGGAGCAAAAGCCGTTGGAGCAAAAGCCGTTGGAGCAAAAGTTATTGGAACGACGGCTGCTGGACAGGAGGCGGTTCTTGCAGCAGCCCGGCCCGTGGTTGGGTACCGAAATGACGAGGAGGACGAGTACATTGGTAGCACACCCATTGGCTTGCGGTCGGATGGTGAGGCACTAAAGTCAATGATGTCGTCTGAGAGGTCGATTGGGAGATCGACTGAGAGGTCGACTGGGAAATCGACCGGCAGGTCAGAACGGTCCCGCGCGAGACGTGAAAGGCAAGGCGGCGTGGTGGTCCTTGGTGACTCATGTTACGAGTTTGAGGCGCCAGCGATGGACTCAAGTGAGTACAGCGACGACGCGGTCCTGTCGCCAGCGTTGCACCTGAGGGTACCAGAGTTGGCGCACTTGGGCATGATGGACCAGACGGGCGGGTCGCCAGCGGCGGGGACTTTGGCTGTGATTGCACAAGGGGCGCGAAAGGCGCATTTTGAAGAGGCTTACCGCGACGAACAAAAGAAGCGCGCCGAAACCTGCAACACCAGAGTCGCCGCCAGGCGGACTCCTGCTACTGCCACCGTCGCCAGTCCTCCTAGACCCAAGACACTTCGACCCGGACCTAAAACTACCGAAATGGCCCTGGCCAAGTGGAGCCCTATCTCCTCCGGAGGCTGCACCCCCTTCGGCAGTCCAGGGCGCCGGAAGAGCCAGGGGCCCGCCGTCTCCCCGTCGCCTATCGGTGCCAAGTCGCCCATTACCCATGGGTCTCCGTCGCCCCTCGAGAGCAGGGCACCCATGCAGGCTGCAGGAACACAACCTATAGGCATGGCAGGGGTGACAGACGTGGGAGGGGCGACAGCCATCGGAACGGCGGCCGTCTGGACTGGACAGAGAGGAGTATTGGGCCTTGGAACTTTCGGCGAGTCAGTGAAACCTGTTTCCGTCTTGAAGGACCGCGCTGGCGACACTGCCGGCGGCACTGCTGGCGGCATCGTTGGTGACACCGCTGGAGACCTCGAGGTTCGGACTGGCGCCTACCATTCCGAGTCGTCTCCAACTCACTCCGAGTCTCCAACTCACTCCGAGTCTCCAACTCACTCCGAGTCTCCAACTCACTCCGAGTCGCCAGGTCGCGGTCCGTTACCGAACACTTTGTCACCCAACACTTTGTCGCCGAACACTTTGTCACATATGATGCCGGTCTCGCGAAGGGTGACCCTGGACTCCAGCCCGAGCAATATTTCTCGATTGGAGCCTTTCGGCGAAGGGGTGAGGCCGATCGGGGACCCGCTGAAGGCTTCAACGAATCGAGGTTTGTGGGGCCGACCGGTCAGCCGCTCGGTCTCGAGGACGTCGGCGGGGAGGCAGAGCTCCCGGCCAGTTAGCCCGAGCCCCAGCCCCAAAGGGCGGCCGGAGTCACCGATGACCAGTCACGATACAATCGTGTCGTTGCCAACGAACTCGCGTGTGCAAACCTGGGGCTCGAACAGGAACTTGACCAAAGTCTCTTCAATCCGCATAACGAAGCCGCCGTAAGTCCTAACCAGAACACTAACCAGAGGGCATGTAACCAGAGGGCATGTAACCAGAGGGCACTCTACCAGGGGCGCGGGGCACGCCTCCCGAGTCTGGGGACCCCACACTTCTACAGGGTAAGGTTATTCTCTGTTTCGATTAGAGTGTTTGACAGCATTAGGCAATTGAAGAGCGAGTTTTTTGTGCACGCGGAGAACAAGGATTGCACCGTGCCGCATGGTATCTTGGAGCGGTTGCAGCAGGAAGTATTAGGTGTGTTTGAGCGGTTGAAAGTGGACCCGATGTTTGTGGTGACTAGGCGATTGGGTGCGACGGCTTCAGCAGCGGAATTAGCGGGTTTGCGGTCGATGATGAGTCGTGCGGAATTTCTGAAGGCTACAAGTAAGTTGCCGGGAGTGCCGGATGTGTTGGTAGAGCGGGACACGCCGTGGTGGATTTGCAAGCAGGCGGCGCAGCACAAGCAGAGCTCGCTCGAGGCGATTGACAGTTTCATCAATGACATAAAGGTGGGTGAGACGGGCGGGCGTGAGTTCGTGAAGGGTCCGGTGAAGGATGCGGCTGCATTGCCCGTTGTGCTCTACGGCTGTGGGGCTCTGGATGCGTCGTATGCTTCGCGATTGCGAAACGACCGGAACAATTGGAAGTTGAGTTGCGACTGTATGTTGCCCGTGTACGTCAAGTGTGTATGCATCCCCAAAGGTCCTGAGATGGTGCACAGTGAGGCCGAGTTGGCGGAGCTGCTGCCGATGGTGGACGAGCTGGCCAGCGATTACAGGACGCATTTGATCCGGTGTCATTACCAAATGACTTTAAGGTACCAATCCTTCATCCCGGTGGTGGGCAAGGCTGACAAGGCGTTGTTGAAGAAGGCGGGCTGGAACGAAATGGAGTTCAATGGAGGCACTTGCAAGATCCGCTGGCGCACCATCGCGGGCGGCCTCATTCTCAGCTACATGGACGGCTATGCTGAATGTCCCACCAACAAGGTCATGTGCCTCACTTTCGACGCAGACAACCACATCAAGTGGATACCTTTCCTATCAGAGACCAAACGACTCTTCGCCACCCAGCCACTTGGACTCTGCTTTGGCTACAAGGTCGCCTTGCCCTGGCCCATGTCCAGCAGGGAACTTACCGTTTACGGCATGGCCGCCGACGCCCTCAAGGTGCCCGGCCTCAACGCAGTCCAAATGTGGTGCTTCAACAACCCCAAGGCCGCCACCTCTCTCATGGGCGTGCCGCTGCCCGCTATGAACCCCAAAGCTGTCGACATGGAAATACCCGCCCTCGCATTCGCCCTATCTACCACGGGGAGCAGAACCAGGGTGCAACTTTGCGCCGTATTCGACGTCAAGGTCAACTTCCTACCTATGACCGTCCAAAATCACTTGGCAAAATTAATGGCAACAAAGTACAGATCTGACACAAATACCACTGATCAACAACCCTGCATCGCTTTACTACGCCCCCACGCGCCTGCACCCACCGCCCCACCAATGCTCCTAATTCTTGCAGAATGTTCGGCAACGTCCAAACTATCGCCAAGGACTTTGACAAATCTGATTATAAAAAAGTATACGAAAGAAATCATGAGTTCTTTGGTAAGTGCTTTCATAGTGATTGAGCCATTTATTTGCAGATGATTTGCTTTCGGGAAAGCCTTTTAGTTAGTTTTAGCAAGCGAAGCGCTTATTAATGCGTGCGCACACACGTGTGTGCTATCGCAATGACACCCATTGAAGGAGATTTACGTCGTCGTCTCGAACGCTGGGACCGACGATTTCGACATTTGTTCTCCAAGAAGGTTTCCCTGCCAGCCCCGCTCGAAGAGGAGAAGCTGATGCAAGAGGGGTCCGACGTGGATGTAAAAGAGCTGTCTGCTAAGGTTCATGAAATGTAAGGTTGCTTAAGACGACGACATTGAGTTACTTTAGCACGCGGACACTCAAGCACCGCAATGCGGCTATCCGCAGGAAGATATCGGAGGAAATAAAGGTGACAGAAGATTGTCAGCACACTATAAAGTCGGCGGTCGAGAAGTTGCATCGATACAAGTGAAATTGCAACAACACAAAAAATGTGCTAGTACGTGCAACACCGGGAAAACGTGCAAGACCGGAGAATGTGGAATTTTGTGAAGAGCGTATTCACTAAAACAAATGAAGCTGAAGAATCCATCCCGCAGGAGACGGACCCTGAGTTCGTCCCCGACGTCATGAAACTTCAAGAGCGCGAGTTCCGAGGACCAGTGCATTTCCTGGCGTTCATGTCGGGGCCTTGGATAACTGTCACTGTCACACCGCGTGAACAGTCACAAGAGCAACAATCCAGCGCATGAGTCTCTATTCGCTTTTTTGCTTAAGACTCTCGATCATCGTTGCCACGCGCCTGTCTTGGTCTAGTTCTCGATCGTAGTGGAGTAGCAATTCTGTAGTTCCCACCGTGGTCCTAACCAACGTTTGAATCAGCAGCTGTTGCTGATGCAAAATAGTTAACAGGCCGAGCGTATCCACATGCGATAGCGTGTACGTCGAGATTTCATTGTTGGAAGTCGAGGGGTCATGATCCGTATCTGCACAGAACAGGGCGAGTCAAAGTTAGTTGTCCACCGAAAGACGTGCTGAAGCTACGTGTTCTGTGCTGAAGCTCTGTGCTGCGTGGGAAGGAGCGGGCGTACGTCTATAGGTTCTGGAAGTCAAGGCGTCTCTTAGGCCGATTGTACTTCGAGGGGGTGGGGTAGTCTGAAAGAGAAACTTCCGCAGCATGTTGAAGGGGCTTTCCTTCGGAGTCGCCACCGGTAAGGCGCTGCTGGCGGAGCTAGTTGAAGGTGTGTCCGGCTCCTTGACATCGTCCCCTATGTAGACATGCATCTTCCTCAAACCCTTTACCATGCACATGGTTTCTCTCTGCACTTCTTTGGCCAACTGACTAAATATGTCATCGCCTTCCTCTAGCACCTCTCTGCTCTCAATCTGCTGCTTCCTTCGTTCCCAACCTGGACGGCTGCCAGCTGACTGTAACTGGTTGCCGCATGCTTGGCTGCCACCTTGGGTTGTTTCCCCACTTGAGTCCTGATCCCATCGCACTTGTTCCGACTCCGCTGTCGCAGCTGGGTCGGAGGGACTGGCAGCCGGCACGATTCGGTCTTGACTCGCCCCCGCAGATACCCCTGCGGGTGGCCCGGAACGGATGGTGACCCCCGAGCGGGCAGTGACCCCTGAACGTGTAGTGACCCCCGTGGATCGCAAGCACTCGGGTATGAAAGCGCGAGCAAACTCCTCGGACCGCGGGTCGTAGAGCAGGCTGCTCGAGTTGCGGAGGTACGGCCGGTGGGTAAGAGGCCGTTGCCTTGAGGTCGGCGTTCGGCTGGGGGAGTCGCCATTGAGGTTGCCACTGAGGTTGCGACTGGGGCTACGAGTGGGGCTACGACTGTCGTTTGCTGGGGCTGCCAAGCTGGGTCGGGCAACGGGGCGGAACCGCCGGTCTATGAGGCGGTCTCGATTCAACATATCACGCAGCTGTCTGTACGGATCTTCTCGCGGATACTTGACCTTACCATGGTTGTCAATCAGGCGCAGTAGCTCGCCCGCTTCCTGCGCAATTTCCCGAATCGCCCCATGCGCATCATAAAACGTGTGGCATGCGGAAATCGCTCCAATCAACTCGTCGTCGATGAACTTCACCAACTTGCGCCGCCTCAACACGTCTGCGTCCGGTAACGTCGCCTGCTTACGGAACGAAGGACGCGCCGTGAAACTCGTCCGGTCGCGCATCACTTCGTTCGACAATTGCCGCTCCATCGCCTTGAAGGCCTGCAAAACGACGCTCTATCAAACGACCCTCACCATCAGCCCTCGCCACCAGACTTCCCCGCTAAGCCACATGGTAGTTCTCCCCGAGGCAGATCTCACTGCGGGTAGATCTACCCGCCAATCTCACCACTGGACCTTACCACAGCATCCCAGGGTCTCCGCAAGCCCACAGGGTCTCCGCAAACCCACTCGTCCACCTCCAGCCAGCTGCACGCCCAGACTCTGCCGCACATTCAGTCCCACTACCGTACCGTACCGTACCGCCCACCCCCACCCCCAAACCCAATCCCAGTCCCCAATCTTCCCC